CCTTCTCTCTCTCTCTCTCTCTCTCTCTCTCTCTCTCTCTCTCTCTCTTTCTTTCAATTATTTTATAAACTTCAATTTAATATAGAGAAATAATTCATAGATAAAAGAAAGTTAAAGTTATTTTAATATCTAGAATTTTTTCTCATTCAGTAGTTAAATAAATGTTAATACATAGTATGTTATAGTTGAATGAATATTTGTTGGAAAGAGAAGAGAATTAACAGATTTCTGAAATATCATGCCTTTGATCACTTCGCGATAGTACGATTTCGCCCGACAGTATTGTAATTATCGTAAATGAAGTGACCACGTCGCTGCAGTTCCGTAGTTTTCGGTAGCTGATTATAAAGTTTGTGTTAGTACCGTAATTGCGGTGTCGTAACAAGTCTGACGAAGTACATGGGAAGCAAAACAAATACCTGCACACACGGAAGTTACACTGCACTGTAACTAATTACGGGTAGGAAATTAATCCTTTAAAAGCTTTTGTTCCTTTTAGAGCTTGTTACGTCTTCGCGTAATCTTCTTACAGAATTTCAATAATATACAGCATATGAGGTAATTGTTATTTTTACTCATTTAGGTTTCACACGAAAGTCTTATACCATTGCAAATTTCATGTCATAATTATTATTACATATGCCAATAATATTAAATAATATTAAAGCAGTAGATATTAGTTACTTAGCATCCGAGTTATAATTATTATAATTAGTTAGTTAATAGCATTATTAATTAACTAGTAATTATACAGTTAAATATTGTGATAATTATTGTAGTGAGCAAACATTTCATGTTTGTTATATCTATAGTTATTATTGTAATGAAATCATTATTAATTAAGCTACTTTAAATTTGTGCAAAACTATGTATCCATTTTAGAATACCTCATTGAACTGAATATTTAGCATTTATATTTACCCCGAATTTCTCCTTTCGTATATTATAATCGGCTAATTATTTAAATAATTTGTATTGAGTATTATTGATTGATCCTATAAGATGTTTTTTAAATTAAGCGTTAATATTTTAAAATTATCTCAAATGTAAAAATTATCTCAAATGAACAAATAAAAACTGTAACATAAATTGAAGCATTTTATTTTACCTGATTGATAATAGAGAAATAATTATATGTAAATAATAAGCGAACACACATATATGTACATTTATTTTAATAAAAATGAAAGCAATTAATTGTAGAAACATTAAAATTCATTGTAATTATATAATTACCGCGTTAAAATGTGATCTCTACAATAAGGATGCCGATGATATCGAGATATCATAATTAAATTTTGCATATTAAATTCGGAGAATTTCCACATTTGTATTTTCTCTCGTAAAATAACATTCGTACGGTACGCGTTTATACGCGGATTGATAGGAATCCTCGGATCCGCGAATTTAACCGGTAGAAAATATACTGCCTTGAGAAGAGGAGATTTATCTCGAGTTATGCCGGCCAGTAGTTATGGCGCGTTCGTGGTCAGACGTATTTCACAGCGAGCAGTAGTTACCGTTACCGCAATTCGTACGCCAGGAAATCGGGTGAACTGATTAGATTCTAGATACGGTCGACACTCGCGGCGACATTATGCAACAACGGCTATAAAGCTCGATATTACGATCTTTATCTAAATTGCAAACTTTAACGTTATTTCCTGCGACGGTTACGACATATCGATATGTCGAACTTGAATATTATAAGATATGAGATTTGAAATGCAACAGCAATGATAACTAATAACAACTGTTGTATTGTGAGATAATAATGACGATACAGTAGTAGAAAATAACATGGGAAATAATAAACGCGAATGCAAAAACGAAGTTGTAGTTGAAACAAAATCGATATTAAATCCGCATCGTGTTAAATAATCTTCAATAATTTAATATCTCTCAAATAACACAAGATCGGAAATTTAACCTAATTTTCAACAATTGTAGTAGTTCAATAAGAGATGCGGTTTCATTGCTGTTTCTCATCATGTATGTTTCTTGTATAGACAAATTAACTGCATCGGATTTATCTTAATAAATTTATGGATCACGAAGGTTTTCGTGGCTTATCGTCAGAAAAGCGGGAGATTTATGTACGCTTGGGAAATTAATATCCTGCGAATGCTATTAAATAAAACATTATGGTTAGCGATTATCGTAAATTGATAACTGTGTTCTACTCTGGTTTCGTACCATCGTAATCCTCGTTGCGTTTTATGCTTTCTATATCCGGCCATTCTCACATCGATGCAGTAGATATGAATAGAGTGAAGTATTCCGTGTGCAGCGTTCAACACGCCCAACTACACACATACACGTATAAGTAAAAACACCGTTGGATACATATAGCTATCCATTTGATCAAAGCACATAAAATATAGCGTTATTGATGATGTAAAAAAAAAAAAACAGATGTGAAAGATATATTGTCACGAGGAAAAGCAGGTCTTTTTGCATTTTTATAGCAACACGACTGTGAATTATTTGCCGAGCTCCTTTGAAAATGATCAAAGTCAGAAAATTCAGCTCTGCTAAAAGTTAATATATTTTTTAATATTACCATGCTGTCGAAATCATAAAATTGAGTCCATTTTTGAATCTAATCTTAAGTATATTTATACAACTTTGTTCAGCAGAATATTTTGTCATGCTTTGGAATACACATAAACGAATCGCGTGATACTCACCTCAATGCGTAGGCATTCGAGGTCTGCAAGGTCTCTCTCTTCTCTCTTTTTATATTCTGGATCCCGATTTTTCAGCCTTATCTACGACAGCACTGCGCGAGCGAAAAAGCGTTCTCGGGGCATTGTACGTCTCGTGTCGCGCGCGGCCGGGTCGTTATCGCGAGCTCGAAACGTCGGTCCTCGTCGATAATTGACGCGGGGAAAATGTGTACACCTGCGTCGGCGTTATCACGCCGTGGGGCTACGCCGTTTTGCGTTTGCGGTGCAATCCCGAAGCCGCGCGTTTCAGCTTCCGTCGACGACTGACGGTCGCTTTTGGGCACGGCGCCTGCGCCCATTCGCGCCCACCTACGGTCACGCCGCGTGCACCACGCGTCTTTCCAAACCCCGAGGCCAGCGGTTGCAGCCGGGGTTAACGAGACCGAACAGCTGCATGCGTGCCCACCGAGGCGCATCGATCTAGCAATCGTTAGGAAATAATCGAAGACACTGATCTAATTATACGGAATGTTAGGTAGCAATCCCGTTTGCGACTGCTTCCATGGTTGGAAGACACAACGGTTGATTGAGCGCTCGCGGTGCCTCTGTGATCGGAATGGATCTTTTCAGATCCGTGATAAATCTAGAGAAACGTTAATGGCAGCGAGCGTTCGTTGTCATCGTTATGACTTTTGAATACATGCGGTGATTGAATAACAATAATTAAAGTTACTATATTCAAGCAAATTGCAGATGCCATCAATGAGAATAATAAAAGACTTTTATTGATAAATTAAGTTGTAACAACAGGTAATTTGTTAAAAATAATAATTTTATTTGTTTAATAGCTCCTAAAATCTTTAAAAAAATAAGATAGATTATTAATGATATTAGAAAATAATTTTGTAACGTTACGATCATTCAGATTAAAAAAAATCTCTGTTAAAAATCTCTATCAAAAATGTATATGCTTTATCTTACCATCTACTATAATTTCCATAGGATTTTACGTTTGTAAAACTTTTTCCATCAACGCTTTTGAATAATATTGATTCCATTGTCGCGATTCATTATAAAAAGAACAGCCCGCATCGCAGTCTATTCGCGTGTCAGGGTTGATCGGCCATCCGTGATTTTCGAATTAATGCGTCAAGTGGGGCTTGCGGATGTTACCGTTTGTATGTTCGTTGAAAATTGAATTCTCGGGGCGATGCACTGTATGTAGGCGTGACATTTCACTGGGAAATTCGTCCCATTAAGTACAACGCGTTATAATTATGACGGGCGAATAAATAAGGACATTGAACCAACGAGTGTGTAAACGCGAGTCTGCGATGCGAAACAAAGTATCGCGTGAGATAATAAAACACAGTCGACGATGTCGAAGCTCTTGATTGTTTGCGATTAAAATAAAGCCGCGACTCGGTTTCTCGCTAACGAGTCGTCCGCGCTTAATTGGCAACGGAAGCTCGTCGCTTCCACGAAAATTCCGCAAGTAGAGATAACGTATAAATTTTCCGTGTCTTCTCTTTCTTTCTTTCCTTTCAAACAGTAAAAATTGTAACTTGAATTTTATCATAGATCGTAAACCATTTAATTTATCGACATTCTCCATGTACTTGAAATGTATATGATGTACATAAAGAACACATATAATATAAAAATAGAGTATCATATAGCAAAATCTTTTACCCAGTTCTCGAATCTAATCTTAAAAATATCGGAGTTTCAATCGGAAAATTTATACAAAAAAAAAAAAAAACAAAAAACAAAAAAAAACCAACGTTTAGACGTCGATATATGTAATTTGTCGAGATTTAATTAGCTAATTTCCGGCGACATTTTCTTTATTGATTTTGCAGAAATCGTCGATTTTCCACGACGTTAACACCCGGACGTTTTGTAATAAAAATGCCCGAATAAAAAAAATTGCGCGTAAAAATTCGGGCCAAGAAATGATGATGTTAGGCCAAGGAAAACGCGAAAGAGGATAAAAAAAGGTGCACGCGAAAATACTCTCTCGCGACCGTAACAGATTGGTAGTGGAACTGGCGGGTCAGCGTTTTCTTGCAGGCACCGGAGCCGGGAGGCTTCAGATTAAAAGGTTCGGAGCCCGCTCGGCCGTAATAAGAGTCAGCATCTTTTTCTAGGCAATATTTCACGTCATTACACACCATTTCACCGCAATTAAGATTTGAAAATTTCGGCCGCCCGCGGTTTATCGAAGACGTCACCGACGCCCTTTTTTTCCGGCAGTCCTGTCCGTTCGGAATGTGACCTGGTTCGGTTAATTATCCGTAGCTCCGACCTCTTTAATGTCGCTTAAACGCACCTTTTATATGGGATCAACCAGTAAATATTACATTAGAAAGTATAAATGAAAGTAAAAAACGATGAACGTTAAAAAATAAAAACAAATTATTGTGGCAAATAGCTATTGATTTTATCATTACAAAATTTATTTTGTATAATTTATTTTGTAATTTTTTATATTTAATAATTTTTTATATTTACGTGTAGATTTAACTATTTCTTTAATTTTGTAATTTAGGAAGTTGTTATGTAATAGTTGTCTTTAATAAATTATTATTTAATAATAATAAATAATTTATATAAAATATAAACCATTGGAACAAACTTGTTTGAAAACTGCTATATTTGCCGTAATAATAAATTGAAAGTAAATATTTTATTCTAGATCTATTTATAATACGATAACGTAATTTAACAATTCCACTTAATTATCGGAAATATGATATGTCAAATGGAGGAAAGTTTCACAAAATCGAGCAATAAATAAAATTGATAGATACATCCGCTGTCTCGCGGCACTATTTTTAATTATATGAAATTTGACGTTACATACTCATTCTTTTTTTAAAACATAGACGAATTGAAGCAGTGATCTACTATCACTTTATTTATATCCAACCCTTCGCATAATAAATATATGCAAATGCCAGCAGAAGCGACGAACGTTTATATCCGCACTGTGGAAATTTCAATTTCGTACGGGAGGAAAACCTCGCGCATTGTGGAGGCAAAGATACCGTGACGAAAGTGTGAACGTAACAACATGTAAATCCCATGAAAAAGCGAGAAAGGTATGGAGGTATACGCGCGTGTATGAAACTTCGGCGAGAGCGGCCATTACACGAGCGACAAATGCGACGGAAGTTCAGAAATGCCATCATGCTCTTGCGAGACATGTGTTCCTATCTTTTCCCTTTACTTTTATCGAAGGTGTCTTTGACATCGTCGTACCGGTCGCGAAGCTTATAAACGACGACGACGACGACGACGACAGAGTTGTAACGTCTTTCGAATTCCGTCACTTCCCGCCTGGCGATTTTTACGAACTTTGAGCGATGCTAGTACACCGAGGACGAAAATCTAGGTCGTTGCGCATTGCCGAAGTCGATTCGACTTTGATTTCTCGCGTTACTCCTGCACTCCCGGAGCTGTGTAATCTTGTATCATACTCGAATATCCGCATTGGGACGAAGGTCCATGTTGCTCTCTCGCGTTAAGATTATTCGTTCTGCGCGATGTAACGATTTTCCTGCAGTTTCAAATCAACGACTTCACGATATGTATGTATGTCACGCATCGGAAACTTTCTACTCTTTTCGACATTTATTTTTCATGGAAAATCAACGTCAGAAAAGCCACACGTCAGATTCTTCGATCATCGAGATTTATTTGTTTCAGTTTATTTTTGTTTAAATTACATTCTTTTAATTCTATCCTTAGGCAAATATTTTCCAACAACAATAATAATAATATCGATTTTTAATTAATCGTTCTGTAAAACGCGTGTCTGTAGTCACGTCGACTAAATGACTTTTTTTCAACTGTCCATACCATCGTGTAAATCCGTTTCGATCGCTAAATAACAGCCTTCGTTCGGTCGTTTTGTCGTCATTTATAAATCATCACGCTCGAAGACACCTGTTCCCAGTGGATCACGCTTAGAGCACTCTAATCGGATTCTCAACGGCTCTCGCCTTCCGGTTACAGAGCCGGGGATAATCGCATTGGCCGTCTCCGGCACAAGCGGCATTAGTTTATGGTGTTGATTCTCCGCTGCGGCGGACGCAACGCGAGCGATTCGATTACGGCTTACCGAGCGAGTGTATCTGCGATCGCGTCGCATCATCAGCCGCGCTCGAAGACCGCGCCGTGCGATGAAATTACGTTACGCTAATTGCCAGCATCGTCAGACGAATCTCACTCGCGGCATCAGATTTGTCGGGGACCTTGTTCGCGATCCCCGCCGCTTTGGCCTCAATTAAGAATACTGGCGATTTCCATCCCGCGGCTCACGAGCTCACTCCTTGGTGGACCGGGGATATATCGCGGGAGAATCCGTAATCAGATTAACCCCGTTTCACGTAATACATTTTACGCGTGATGTAGATTCGCCAGGTCGGATTCGCCCATTTTTATTGGCCAGTCGAAAAATTTGGCCAAAAGTTTCATTCGCGTCTGCCATTGCATCGTATGGACGAAAGAGAATTTTACATCGCGAATCGATTATCACGGTTTATTTTTTTCTCAATATACCTTCGTGGTACAGCCTTTCCCGAACGCACGGAACAGATTTTTGCACTGACGCGCACAGCAATTTTTTATTAGCCAGCCGCTCGATGGCGGCCTCGCGAGAGGTGAAAAAATTTCGTTTGTATCCCTGTTGTTGCTGTGACGAGTGAGACAGATATTTGCATTTACAAGTTGATTTGGGTTTACCAAATTTGCCGACACAGCGCAACTTTTTACTCTTTCTATTTTTAATCTGTTTTTAATATCATTATCGATTTACTACATCGCTTGAAATTAAATGTTTCTTAATTACAAACGATTTTAATCGCAAATGATAATGAAATATCTGATTTGTCGGATTGCAGAATAAGGATAATTTTATTTATCTTTTTAGCAAGCGGAAATTTGATATAGTCCATTGCGGTGAAGGAATTTAGAGATTTACGGAGAAATAATTCGCGAATTTCTGTAGTAATTGGCGTTCTCCATTCCCTTTCTCTTTTTAATCGGGATAAAAGAGTACCTCATTAAATCGTAATGCCGGACAATGAAATATTCAGGAGATTTTCGCGTCCGGATTGTAGAGTCGTCTATGATAAAAAATCACCGAATCCTAGCTTTGATTCACAAACGATCCGTTAAGCGTGTTACTCCTTTAAATCGGCTGTCCTCTCACGACAAATTTGTTCAAAGACAGCGCGAAGGTGAAAAATGCGGGTGAATAATGAAGTTTCACCGGGAATGAGATGCCTCGGAGGGTCCCGTATTGGAAACCTGGCGAGCAGATTTCGCCGATGACAAAGGAAGCTTGGATAAAGAAGCGTCTTGGTCACGGTAATCCGAGCTTCAGCGAGGACGACAGCGCGCGGCTTTGTCACTCCTGAATAATTTATAACATTCACAGCGAACGATATAATGCACGGTGATTGCGCTAAGAAGGTCCTTTGTCCTTGCAAGACGACTACTAAGAAAAATATCTGTATAAAAA